CTACATATGCGGAGTGATGTACTTTGACCATGACCAACGCTTGCACTCCAATCGGGGTAGATACGGCATGTGTTGGGTGCATCACGAAGCACATGGAGTAGTAGTTGAGCCAAGAAAGGATTCATTCCTCATAATAGATTAAGAGAGAACATTCTACTTCTCATATCTAGATGGATCATAAAGTCATTGGCCAATGCAAAGATATATTCGTTTTGGATATTGAATATGATCGTTATGGATCATCTAGAAAGATTGAGAGACAGAGACTGAGTTATTGGGATAGACACTATATCATGTTCTAGACTTAGTTGAATGTTCACTGAATGAAAGGACCGTATCACTATGAGCTCTATATTACAGGGAGTTTGTATAGTCCTCGCAAACGTCCTTATATATTAGGTTTGTCTGGAGAATCGTCTAGGGATTCGCTAAGACCTTAATTTGATTAGTGCTTAATATATAAGGCCCTATGGGTCACACAACAAGTGATTATACCTTCCGATTGAATTGTTAGAAGGAATTAAATATTATTAATTGGATTAAATAATATTTAATTCGTAATACTGAAAATGAATTAAATATTAATTAGATTAAACATATTTAATTCATGAAGCTGAAGGAGAGTTCTATTTGATAGAATTAATTAAGTAAGATAAATTAGATTTATCATACTTAAATAAGATGTATTTATTATTAAATAAAGTAGATATTTTCTTTTGTAATTTGAAATTAAAAGAAAAGTAAATAAAATAAATATTAATATATAATAATTAGAAAGTGGCGTGCAGCCACATTTCAATTATTATTATTATTTTGTTTTGTTTTATCTACTTATTTAATTAATTAGGAGTATTGGTCCTAGTAGGATTAGAACTCATTAATTAGAAAGACTTTCATTGTGATTGGAAAACTAGTTTCGAACTAGTATAAATACATCCTTCTCCTTCATAATTCATAGACCAGTTTTATAGATTCAGTATTACCAGTTTATTTCTCTGCCAAGAGATTTCCTAGCCTTTCTCTAAGGGAGATCTAACCGTTCTTTCGGAAAGGAGAAATCACGTGGATACCTAAGGTCAAGGATTATCACCGCTAGTCTGGGAGATCTGTAAGTTCTAACTCAGATCTGTTATTATTGTTATATTCGTTGTTTTGTCATAATCAGGGAAGATCTGTTTGGGAAAATTTTAAACTTCCGCTGCTGAACTTTCGAGGTATGTCACATCAATTTCCTAACAAATAAGTCATTACATTGAGCTTAAAAAGCTCATCAACAACATACCTCTTTCCAACATACATTCCTGATTTAGACAAAACTAATTTGTCCGACTCAAATACCATGTGGAAACCGTTTTTGTTCAACATGGATCCGGAAATTAAATTCTTCCGCACTTCTGGAACAAACAGCGCCTGGTTCAGAGTCAGTTCCTTGCCCGAAGTCATCTTCGTGACCACCTTGCATATTCCCTCTACAGTGGAATGGGCTCAATTTCCCATCCACACCTTCTCGTCATTTGAGGCCTCAGGGGTAGTAAATAGCTCTTAGTTTGAGCAAATGTGTCGGGTACCTCCGGTGTCCACAAACCACTCCTTGGAGTTTGAGCCAACTAGGTTGGTCTCGATCACCACAGCGGAGAGGATCATTTCCTCCTCCTCTTTTTGAATCTCGTGGAAGATAATTTGAATCTTCTCAACTTGACTCAAGACCGTCTTTGAATCCACCATTTTAAAGTCAAGGAAACGACCAATAATAAATTTCTTTGCGCCGGCACCATCGCTTTGTACTTGTGGTCCAAAGCATTCCATAGCTCCTTAGTCATGGCTAGCTTGCTCTAGACATCATACAGAGCATCATGCAGCCCGTTCAACACATAGTTTTGACACAGGAAGTCCGAATGCTTCCATGCCTCAACCGCATTGATAGATTGCGCATCCATCTCTTGTTCGTTTGAAACATGCACATCCTCGATCAAGAGCCTTGCCAAGCCGAGGTTAGTGAGATAAAAGAGCATCTTTTTTTGCCACTTCTTAAAGTTCAACCCATTGAACTTTTCGGGTTTCTCCACAGAGTTACTTGGCACCGTAACCATAGGGGTTGCCCCTTGGTTGGCCAAAGTAGATGTTCCGCGTTGTGAACCATTATTCACCAGAACTCCACTTTCAGAGTGTGTTTCATTTTGTCCAACATGAACATTTTGATTATCAAGAAATGCTATTTTTCTTCCTTTCTCTTTTCGAAACAAAAAACATTGAACTAGTTTGAAGATTGTAGTACCGTAGTAAACAATCTTCATGACAAAGATCAATGAATAGTTTTAAGTTTGTTTCCATAGTGAAACTATCTTCGTTAAAACCAAACAAAAAGCTTTGAATTGGTTTTAAGATTGTTACTATAGTGAAACAATCTTCGTAAAAACCAAACCACAACGTTTACAAATGAATTAGATTTAAATTTGTTGGGGAAATCGGTGTTTTTGTTTTTCCGAAAAGTAAGAAAGTAAAAATATTCAAAAGAACTAGACAAAGAACTGGCACAGGTTCAGTCAAAGCATGTGCAACGCACACTGTCCTTAAAACTGATTCACTGCCTCACATGGCGTGAATCACGCACCTTCTCTGCCTAATGTCGGGGAGATGCTGAAGGAGTGGTTGAGAATGGGCTTGTGATGATGAAATAGTCGTTATATGTGAGGACAATGGGTTAGCCTGATCATAGAATTAGGACGACGACATTTTGTCCTTTCGTGATGAATTCGGAGCAGCAGTCATCATCCAAGTGAAGGAGGATGTGACCGGTCTTGAAATGAAAATGATGGCATTGAGTCGGTCCTGAACATAGGATGTCACGGAAACGTGTAAGCCGATTATGAATCCATAACAGCGGTCATCATCCAAATGAAGGAGGATCTGACCGGTCTTGAGATGAGAATGATGGCATTGAGCCGGTGCTAATGAAGATGACAGCTCATGGACCGATCATGAATCTGAAGCAGCGGTCATCATCCATGAGAAGGATGATGTGACGAATCTTGAAATCAAAATGATGGTGTTGTTGGTCAAGCTTGAGGTTTGGTGCATGCCTACACGGTGATGTGCATAGCAGAGTATGAGATTAAACTCACGATGTCATTTGACCTTCAAGCTTCCTTAGGATGGATGTAAGTTTCCAGGTTGAGAGCGGTGCTTGGAGGACTCCTTGATGCAAGCTAAGAGAGTGATACTTGGTTAAATTAATCGTTTTTCATTAAAGAGAGTCGCCCAAGCATCACTCCAGAAGTGTGGAAGAATTTAATTTCCGGGTCCCTGTTGAACAAACACGGTTTCCGCATGGTCTTTGAGTCGGACAAATTAGTTTTGTCTAAATCGGGAATGTATGTTGGAAAGAGATATGCCGTTGATGAGCTTTTTAAGCTCAATGTAATGACTTATGAATAATAATAATAATAAAATCTCTTCTGCTTACTTGATTGAGTCTTCCAGTTTATGGCATGGTAGACTAGGACATGTTAATTTTGAATCTATACGTAAATTAGTAACATGGAACACATTACTAAATTCAAAATTGATGTGAAGCACAAATGTGGAATTTGTGTTGAGGCAAAACTAGAGAAACGTCTTTCAAATCGATTGAAAGAAAAACAGAACCACTTGAATTAATTCATAGTGACGTTTGTGATTTTAAATCAATACAAACACGTGGTGGTAATAAATATTTGGCTAAAGGGTCAAATAGGAACCTGTATCTATATTTGGCTTATATTGATGATTGTTACTCTATTGCTGCATTCCAACGGACTTATTCCTACATACACTTTGGAACCAATAAATGGAGAAATGGCTTGACCTATAGTGGAAGGAGAAAAAATACACCCACCTGCACCCAAAAAAATCTCTAGCCGCCCAAAAAAAAGAGTCTCAGAAGAAACTGAGCTTGAGCAGGCAAGCTGTCAAGAATGGGAAGGGTGATGACTTGTTCCCTTTGCAAGCAAAAGGGGAATAGTGGAAACATGTGTCCAATTGTTGCACCAGGAACTCACCAATCAGTCAGGGGTGGAAGGGTTCAAGAGGTGTAAGGACAAGAGGTGGAAGAGCTGTTTGAGGTGGAATAGCTACTGAAGATGGAACAAGTGAACCTAGGAGAGGTGCAAAGGCCAGAAGGGGAAGGGCTGGAAGAAGTGATCCTAGGAGGGGTGAAAGGGGTGCCATATATGGATCTAGGAGGAGTACAACCTAAGAGGAGGTAGAATAAATGTGTTAGGTGGAAGAAGAAATGTAATTTGAATATATGTTTGTAGGCTTTTTTTGGTGGTCAAACTAATGTCTTGGGTGGCTTTGTGCACTTTGCTTGTACTGCTAATTGTGTTCAATGTTTTTAATGTGAAAGTACTTATGTATTGGGCTGTCAAATGGTTACTTGTGAAGGTGCTTATGTATTGGGATGTTTAATGAAGGTTGTTTAGTTGTTTAATTCAATTGAGAAATGCAGCTGCTAAAAATAAGTACTCCCCTGTTTGTACTCCAGTCTATAAAAGAAGAGACATGTGGGGTTTTGCATATAGTGTACCCATGTGATGGTGGGGTCTTGCATTTTCATTACTGGTTATTGGCGGGGTGTGGATTACGCTTCTTTATTCATTGTTGCAGCTTTAAAAGGGGGTGTGCATTGATTTTTGGAACCAGACAAGGACTTGAGGCACATAGTTTATGCATTATTGCTATTACCTTTTTGTACACATTTTAAACAAGGTTTCTTTTTGGCCGATTGTTTTACAATTGGTTATTTGTACTTGTGTTTAAAAACAGTCATAGAAAAGTTCTTTGATTTATCAACAAACTTGAAAAATATTACAGCACTACATTGTTAAAATACTCCACAAACTTCATAAAAAGGTCCATGATATCATCATTCATACCATTATTCACAAGTTGCAACCAAACAAAACTACACTTGCAACAACTACACCTTACATTCACACCACTAACAGCTTAATTCAATACCCTTACAATACTACACTAATACACTGCCAACAATTACAATTTTCACAACAACAATTGCAATAACAAATATCACAAGTCCTTGCCACATTCTCTTCCAGAATATCTTCTCTTTAGCTTCACTTTCAAGAACCATTTTGATGCTTTGCATATCACGTTGCATAGCTAACATCAATCTCTTCAGCTCATGAATTGCAAATTTTAAAAAGCCAGTAACCCCTGTGTATGCTTCATTTTCTTGAGGGAGATATGATATATTCTCTTTCCATAGAAAATAGCCGCATCCCAACCCCTCCTAAAATCATACAGAGTAAATTTTTTATATTATACAAAAAACATATAACACAATTGAAAACCAATTGGTCTAACCCCTCCACAAATTGAGCCAAACCATTTTTTCAAATTTAGATCTTCCACGAACAATATCCGCCCACAAGCCCTCCACAAATAAGAGATTTTTGCTTTAAACAACTAATCAAGTACACAAATCCAAAAAAAAATTGAAATTTTTTATACCTTCCACACTTATTATCCATGTCCCACAAAAGCCCAAAATCATTTGTATTACCCAAAAAACATAACACACAATGAAAAACGTAATTTATAAATACTTACCTTCCATCTCTGGCATCCAAAAAATTGACGGCCAATTTCCCGCTTCGTACACAAACGAGCTTTAAGACCACACAGACAGTTGGGCTCGTACGCACTGAGTTTTCTTCCCAGCGAAGAGGACGATGAACCAGACATGTATTCCTATCTCTTACGCTTCCTTCCTCTACACTGGGCGTATACGGGTGGGAGTATTAAAGAGTTAGCATTAAATATATGGGCTAACTTGCTGACTAGGCGTTAAGGGGAGAAAATGGGAGGCAAGCGGGTAAAAGGATGGATTGAACGATTTTATGTGGTTGGTTGGCCGGATCGGAGCTTTTTTGGGTTCGGGTGTGAATTGAGCAATTTGTATAGGTACAGGGGCCAATTTCACCCTTTTTTATTACTTTTAACGATGATAGCACTCGTTATAGCTATGTTTATTTGTTGAAAAATAAACACGAAGCAATCGATAAATACATTTTGTTTAAGAATCAAGTGGAAAACCAACTTAATCGATAGATTAAAACGGTTAGAAGTGATCGATGTGGTGAGTAAGAAGCACCAATTGGTGACTTTTGTGCGAGCGTGGGTATAGTACATGAACGTACTGCACCCTATTCACCTCAATGAAACGGTGTTGCCGAACGAAAGAATCACACATTGAAAGATATAATGAATGTGATGCTAGTAAGTTTTGGCCTGCCACAAAATATGCGGGGCGAAGCAATCTTGTCAAGCGAAAAATATATGATAGAACTCCTTACGAGTTGCGGAAGGGTAGAAAGCCTTCCTATCAATATTTAAAAGGAGGTGTCTTGCAAATGTGTTTGTACCAATACCTAAGAAAATAAAAATAGGTCCAAAACGGGGGACTGTATTTTTATTGACGCACAAAATAGTAGTGCTTATTGGTTTTTAATGTACGATTCGAACAATCCGGATGTACATAAAAACACAATAATTGAATTAAGGAATGCATCATTTTTTGAAGACGTATTTCCATTCAAGTCGAACGAAGGACCAATCATGTCAAAATGAACGTTTGACATAGCTATGGAAAATACGTGAGGGGTCCCGAGAAGAAGTTGAACCTAAACATAGCAAACATGCTAGAATAGAAAAATCCTTCGGTCCAGATTTTCTGACCTACTTGGTAGAATTTGATTTAGACACTCTAACATCTATGGTAGAAAATGAACCAAATTTTCTAACGTGCTTGGTAGAAAATGAGCCGCGGACTTATACGGAAGTCGTGACGTCTACCAAAGGTCCTATCTGGAAAGAAGTCATCGATAGTGAGGTGGATTCTATACTAAAAAATCACACATGGGAATTGGTTGATCTTCCTCTGGGATGTAAACCTTTGGGATCCAAGTGGATTTTTAAACGAAAAATGAAACATGACAGTTCCATTGACAAGTTCAAGGCTAGACTTGTAATCAAGGGATACAAGCAACGCGAATGCCATGTTTACTTTGACATGTATTCTGCTCTAACGAGAATAAATTCCATTAGGATGATACTAGCAATTACCACATTGCGGAAATTGGAAGTTCATCAAATGGATGTAAAAACCGCTTTTCTAAATGGCGATATAGATGAAGAAATCTATATGGAACAAGCCGATGGAATTCATGTTCCTGGCCAAGAAAGGAAAGTGTGTGAATTAATTAAATCATTGTATGGATTGAAACAAGCCCCTACGCAGTGGCACGAAAAGTTCGACCATGCGATGTTAATTAATGGGTTTAGAATTAGAATAAACGAAAGTGACAAATGCGTCTATGTGAAGAGCACAGTACACAACTATTTCATTTTTTGTTTGTACGTGGATGGTACACTCATCATTGGTAGTAATAATCTAATGATTAATTCTATCAAAAGCATGTTAAATTCTAAATTTCACATGAATGATATGAAACTGACCGATTTAATCCTCAGATTAAAATCATTGGGGGAATGGACGGTCTTGTACTAAATCAATCTCATTACGTTCATAAAATTCTTACGAATTTTAATAAGGATGATTATCAAGAGGCAAGGACACCATTAGATAAAAACGCACACCTTACCAAAAATCGTGGAGAGTGTATTTCTCAAGTAGAATACACTGGGATTACTAGAAGCTTGATGTATCTAATGAGTTGTATCAAGCCTGATATTGCCTTGTGGTTAGCAAGCTAAGTAGGTAGATTAGTAACCCCGGTGATGAACACTAAAAGGCAATAGTAAGGGTTTTGAGGTATTTACGGAAAACCCAAAACCTTGGGCTGCATTATGGAAGATATCCAATTGTACTTATAGGGTATAACGACGCTATTTGGATATCGGGCATTAAGTATTCAAAGTATACAAGTGTTAGGACGTAGAGAGGAGCTACACAACTCAAGAGAAGCAAAGAAAGAGAAACTGCACGCAGGGATATTTTCCGATGCGTAGAGTTGATTGTTTGATTCATATATCGAGCTTCACTCGTCCAAAACAGTCGTGTGAAGTGTCTACAGAAAGATCTCAAGATAAGGAATCCATATAGGCGCGGTTTGCACCAAACGGGGTAGTTTAAGGCTTCCAAAGCATCGGAGGAAAATGATACCTCGCAGAATACGTTTTTGTATTCAAAGTAAGTTTGAATCCAAAACTTTCATTTCTATTGTCTAAATCATATAAATGACTAAGGAGACTATTATAAACTACTAAAAGTGTATAATATGTTCTTCATAAGGGTATTTTATTTATGTAAAGGTTAGACACTAACCTAGAACAAACCTTGAACGATTAGGAAACGAAACTGCCGGAAAACATCCTTTCTAAGGATTGTTTTCATATCTTGACTAGAGGTTGAGCTAGCACCTTGAAGAGGATTCCTAGCACTCATTTCCAAGAAATGAATCAGTTCTCAACTTACCTTTTCCAAGGCTTTGAGCATTGGATCAAAGAGGAAAGGCTTAAAGCTCATTTGAGGTGAGGATCGACATCTAATTGTTTACAACTTGTAGGTTAAGCATGAGAATACCTAAATGTATAAATTATGTTTTCATGGATTATGATGCTTAATCATTGATGAAATATTGATATATTTGATAAGGAATGAAATTGGAAATGATTTGAATGTCATATTGATAAAATGGGATTAAATGGGCTATTAATGAACTATTATGAGAAATAGGCATTTTTGGTCATGTGTGAAATATGTAAATACATAAATGAATATTTAAGTATTACATTGGATGCTTAAGTTGCTGATACATATCTCTAAATATGTAGGGATTTACAAATGAAATATTTGTTTTGATAGGAATAATCTGAATAGTATTGAAATACTAGTTAATGATTATTTGTAATTGTAAAAGAATTGACTCTAAGGATTTGATTGTAAGTGATGCACTTGAATGTGATTCAAGTGATTAAATTGATTTAGTATGAATCTAAGATCATGTTGTGGGCAGTTTTTTTTACCCCGGAAGGCAAACCACCAAAATCAGTAGGGCAGAAGCCGGGAGTCAATTGCCAGAATATTATTAAACAAATGAATTCTTACAGACAGAGAAGGGGGGCAAACCAAACTTCTCAAAAATAAAACCAGTGAAAAAATCACAAAAGAAAACTAATGGATCACTCTCAAAGATGGAAGACCAAATAAATCAGCATAGTAAGAGTTCCGGGCCTGAACCGAAAGATCCAGCACCCTTGAGAAAATACAACTATGGCCCAAGTCTGTTCTTGCTAAAAAGTAGGTCGCCCAGTTCGCCTCTCTCGAATCAACCAAAAAGGAAATACCACTGGTATCAGACAAATTCAACAAACGAGCAACCCCATCGCATCCTCTGCCAAATCTACGTCGTTTGATATGCTCTACCACATCTGATGAATCGATCTCAACCTGGAAGTCGTGAAAGCCAAGATTCGTTGCCTAGATGACTGCGTGGATCAAGGAAGAAAGTTCAGCTTCAAAAGCAGAGGAGGCCGTGACCGGAAATGAAGAGGCGATAATCATCTGCCCTTTATCGTCTCTCAGAATGACTCCCCCAGCAGCTCGACCAGGTAAATAATTTGCATCAACATTTAATTTAAGAGAGTTTTATGGTTTCTTCCAAACTATTGCTTTTATCCTAGGTCGTAGCAACGTAAAGTCCTTGGGAATGAGCTGCTCGTCAAAAAGAATTTCACCCACTTTGACTAACTTTTTGATTTTGATGGAATTAGCCCAATTATTCGTAAACCATTTTACTTGCGAGACAATAGACGCTGCAGTAGGTTTTGAACTTTCAGAACCCCAGACCAAAGAAGAGTAGGATTTCCAGATATACCAACCAATTATACCAGGCAAACAGTGTTTAAAGATATCAACAAGGGTTTTAGAGCCAGCCTTTAACCACCAGGAAAAGAATATTTGTCTAATTGATTTTGTGTGGGACAAAATAGGAACCCCCAGTATACCCATAAATAATTCCCATACTGGCCTGGTTGTAGTACAACTAAAAAATACATGATCATTAGAGTCAGAATGAGCTCTACAAAGTGGACAGATGGATGGGTTAAGAATAGCATGAAACCTGTTCATATTATCAGTGATTGGAAGGATGCCATTAAGTAGTTTCCACTGAAATAACCTGATTTGTAATGGAAGTTTAGGATGCCAGATGTGTGTAGCTGAAAAAGAGGTAGGCAGTTCCTGTCTAACTTCATCATAAGCAGATCTGAGGGGGAAAATGCCATTTGCAGTAGGCTCCCAAAATATACTTCCATCAGTGTTAACACCACATAGAGATGATGCCACTCCATCCACAGAACAAATTCTTCTCCAAATTGGAGAATCAGAGACCTTAGGAACCATGTTAGGACCCCTGGGATATCTAGCTCTCATGATATTAGCCCAAGAAGAATCACTGACCTTCCATTTCCACCAAAGTTTTAAAGAGAAGGCTTTCTCAATGTCAGTAAGGTGTCTAATTCCTAACCCCCCTCCTCAGTTGGGAAACACAATTTAGACCATTTAATCCAATGGTATTTTTTCTTATGGTTAGAGGACCCCCACAAGAAACAAGCCATTTTCTTATCAATGATATTGATAACCTTCTTAGGGAACTTATCAGCTGCCAAAA